CATGCGATTGAATGAGAAGGGGCCCGATCCGCATTCCTACAACGACTCCATTCCACCCCCCGCATATTTCTCCGGTCCGCCGGTCCTATCCATTGCATCTGCCCTTTACGCTTACACTCCTACTGATGCTGGGGATTTGGCTTTGCAGCCCCAGGATAGAATCCAGGTTCTAGAGCACATGAATAATGACTGTATGTTATCACAAGTCTTCGGCGACGCTATCCTTTGAGAAACCATGAGTACTGACTGCCCCGGTAGGGTGGCGAGGCCGGAACGAACGCACACGCCTCGAAGGAATTTTCCCGCGAACCTATGTCAGTGTGATCGAAGAGAAATCAACAATTCATTCACCGCAGCCAGTCAGCGGTTATGGCAATCTTCCTCTGGAGATTTCTCATTCAGGTTCCTCTGGATCACACAAACCCAGCAAGTTCGAAGAGAACGGGAAGAAATTCGGAAAGAAAATGGGCAATGCCGGTATGTCTGATTCGATATCTGCGTATCTCACATACAATATATATAAATACTTTATAATTTTTTGCTGACGTAAAATTATACAGCAATCTTCGGTGCTGGTGCGACTGTTGGCTCCAAAATTGTCAACGGCATTTTTTAAGCTGATGCCATCGTCAACTATTCGAGATCTATTTTTTTTTGTTTTTGGGCTCTGTTAGATTGGATGAATACTTGGGATTTAACGCATGGAATACCGGCGTTGGTGGCTCCTTTTTATTTTAACTCGAGATTATATTCGTCCCAGCAAGATCAATCTGCGAAAATTCTACAGCAAGCCTAGCGTCTTACATCGACTCGCCTCTCACCTCTGACTTGCGACGTTGGTCTTTTATATTGGGATACTACTATTAGCGGTCGCTAGATCGACGGCATCACTCACATCTCGCTACCACATCTATACGACTTCATAAGGCACTAGGTATATCGACTCTGCGCAGGGATCCCCACATTTTTCTACTCTACGTGAATGTCCGTGTTGATCTATTCACAGCGGTGATCGATCTCACGATACAGACTACGGAATTGAGTAAATATGCTAGTCTGCCGCCCGCCGCTTTCGAACAAATAGATGATTCGCGCAATCCTGCGGTAGCCCTAGTTGCAGGCTCCCAATTTTGGATAAAATCTCTTTCTACTGCTTTCCTTGTTTAACCTGCCACCTTCCTTTCCTCAAATCTCACCCCTAAGATTTTCTTTTTCTTTTTCCTCTTTTGTTTCGTGCTAATAATGACGTCGCCATTTTGTGTCGATTTTTCCCTGGATCCTTGTCCAATTACCTGTATTGCTGCTGTATTTTTTTTTTTTTTTTTTTTTTTTTTTTTTTTTTTTTTTATTTATTTATTCTTTACCCCCTCGGTCTGTTGTCCTTTCCCCTTCAAATTGGTAATGCAAAGCCACATGGAGCGGTTGGTATATTTCCTTCACCCCTTATCGTGGTTTATCAGTTTGTTGGAGAATAGATCGGCTTTTTTTTTTTTTCTTTTTTTTTTCTTTTTTTCCAAAACAAACCTACCCTGGAAAGAATATACTTTGATTGCATTTTGTGCTAGTCGGGTATGCGGAATTTGGGCCAATGGACTTTTACTTGCTGTTACTGAGGTAGCGTGCACATTCTTTGTTGCTGCCCCGCCCTTTCCCCTCTCCCCCTTTTTTTACCTCTTTTTCCGCTCGTGCCTTTTCCTTTTTTAACCATAAGGAGTTTAATGAAACAGCTGGAGTAATGGTTTTTGATACTCTATTTTACGAATTCTAACTCTTTTTTTTGGCCATATTCCATGGTTTACCGTAGCGAAATTTTGTATAAAACCATTCATTACTAGCTATTGTATATATTTTCCAATTCTTGAGGGAGACTTGTCCGCGAAGGTAGACATCTACTTGTTGCGAAATTTCTCATCGTACACCTACTTGTTTCGTGAGGAGATCCCGCTCTATCAGCCCTTATATATTCATCACCATGCACAGCCACCCGATGAACATCCATGGACAACCATGATCATTAGAACTTGGGCATCTGCCACCACAATAATGACTCCAACGATACCCCGCCTTTCCCTGGATTGGACCCTTGAAGCGAAGATATCTTTGCGCGACACGCATTTGATCAACGGCCGTTGTATCTATGATGTCATTGCTGGTCTGAGGCAGTAGAACCTAAAATGTCGATGATAACCAGATATTGGGAATCACCTCTCCCTCTCCCTCTTTTTTCTTTCTTTCTTTCTTTCTTTCTTTCTTTCTTTCTTTTTTTTTTTTTTTTTAAATATTGTGGCTTGACAACAACCAGGGCATTGCGGTTCAAAGGATTTTCACACAACTCAACCTCGTATTCAGCGTCAGCTACCCCACAGGAACCAGAAGGTGAAGCGAAGGGTTTGGAAGCGAAATCTACAGGGGGAACCAACACCCCCTACACCTTGCTGCTATAATGTAGTAAGTTGCTCCAGAAGGCGGACGCGCAGTGGCGACGGAGACTAGTATTCAAGGCAGAAGTGGGGGAAGAAAAAGAAAATACTAACTTGCGTACGATCAGTAGGGGAGAAAATACGTGCGTGTTGCGATGTTGAGATAATGTCCCGAATATTGACCAAATACTGAATATCAAAATAGAATATTGAATTGATTATTATAACTCCGATTATTCCAGGCAGTAATTATAAAGGAAGGATATGCTTTGATTATACAACCGGGGCAG